AGCGGGCGGGTGGGTGGGTAGGGAGAGATGGGGGGTTGTGTTTCAAGACCAGATGGTTGTGCTGGAGGTAGATTAGGTGGTTCAAGGAGAAAGAGTAGGAAGAGAAGAAAAGCTGTAAAGAAAAGGGTGTCTTCTCATGTATCAGATCGATCAGCAGCTGATAAAGTTGACAAGTCTTTCCCTTTGGATCGTTCTTTCAATAATCCCGCTTTTAATGGTACTTTCTTGTTTTATTTTCTTGTTTGTGTGTACATTTTTTGGGAATTTGTTAGTTTTCTTGTTCAATGTAATTGTGATTGTTGAAATTTGCTTTCTTTGTTGAAGAAAATTGGAATCAAGAAGAAAGTCGAGTTTTTGATGTAATTACTATTAGTTGAGTCATGAGTGAGCTTTGTGATTATTGAAAGTTACTTTCTTTGTTGAAGAAATTTGGATTCATGAAGAAAGTTAGCTTTTGATATAACAACGGTTAGTTGAGTGAGCATTTGAGAAAAGTTCAATGTAGTTGTGATTATTGAAAGTTACTTTCTTTGTTGAAGAAAATTGGAATCGAGAAGAAAGTCGAGTTTTTTGATATAATAGCTGTTAGTTGAGTGAGTATTTGAGAAATCTAACACATAATTGAATTTTTGATCTGTTAATGTTGGTGGAGTGTGAAACTAATCTGTGTTTTTGGAGTTTGATTTCTTGACTTGGTTTGGTTAAGTTGAAATGAAGGTTGGAGATATGGAGGTTGGGGGGGTGCATTTTTCTTTGGAGGTTTGGTTAGATGCTTTTTGAAGGAAAAAAATTCAACTTTTCTTTGGAGTAGCTCATTTTTTGTTGTTGTTACTGTTTCTTTATTAGTTAATATGCTTTCTTCACTGCCGTTTTTCACTTGAGTCGAGGGTCCTTGAAAATAGTCTCTCTTAACTCCATGAGGTAGGGATAAGGTTTGCTTAAACTCCACCCTCCTAGATCCCACTTGTGGGATCACATTGGATGTGTTCTTGTTGTTGTATTTTCTTATATTGCTAAATAGGAGAGGGTGGAGTGGTTTGTTCTTAGGGAGAGCCTAAAAAAGTGGTTCAGTTGAAGAGAATGTGCTAATATGTTTTAATGGCGTACCCCAACACCGTTATAGAGAAGGAGGAGGAAGAGGCAAGTGAAAAGGAACTGTTTTGGCAGTTTTTTATTCTATGCTATGCACCCATCAAATCGATTTAAGTGTATGGTTTGGTACTCTAAATCGCAATGTACATTAGATATTGCTGTATATAACAACTGGAGAGATGAGGAGGTGATGACAAATTGTTGAGGAAGGCATTAGATTTTCTTCTTTGGATGAGATATAGTTATAACTCTCATTTACCTTTGGTATCTTAATTAGCATGCACCTGAATGGTGCTGGCCGTACGTTGTTTTCTTCAACAATTTGTTTCTTGAATGAAGTGAATTGGGATAATTACTCCATTAAGAATTTTGTACAGCTTATTCTAGGTTCAGTAGTGTAGTCTTCTGGATTGAGTTAACTTCATGCCTACTGCCAAACATGGTTATTTTCTGTCTTTTTGGAAATTATATATGGTAAATCCTACTCCCTCAAATTCTCCAACATTTTCCCTTACCACTTTGCTCCCTTGTGATTTAGATGCCCACCCAACCTTGAGGTAGAGGGTCCTTACCTGTAGGCTATCCTTCGCTTGGCTACTCAGTTTTTTATTTTGTCTTAAACCATAACATGTTACATAATTGAGTTTACAAAACTTGGCTCCCTAAGAACTTTTATTTTTAAGTCTTTTCTCTTCTTTTAGGTCGAATATTTAAATTAAACACAGTTGTTCGAGTATAACATGAGGAATTGAATAGTAGAATATTCTTTGTGTCAAAAGAGACACGATGTGATTAATGGAAGTTATAAATATACTGAGGTTATCTGTATGCTTGGCGGTAATTGTACCAGTTGAAGTCCCAAACAAAGACACATGTTGTTTTCTTATGATAAAAATTGATGGTTCCTTTAATCTATTTTATACAATGCTAAATAACTGGAAGCTGCTAATATCCTTGCAATGTTTCCACTTATCCTTAAATCCACAGTGTTCCTTTGAAACTGGAACTAAGCAGGTGTCTTTTAGATCATGATGGATATCATCTATATCATATCTTTATTTACTTGCCAATTATTCCTGGGAGGGATGTTTTGCATAGTTTAGCTTCATGTTTCTTCTGTCTGTCCAACCTAAAGCGGAATAGTCTATAGCAGATAAACCATTGGAACTAACCTTTTCTAACATTTTGTGCTACTGTATAATGCAATAACAGGAAGTACTGAAGAAGCTTGGTTTGATTCTTCTGCAAGATTTGAATCTGATGGCAGTGATGAAGATTTCCAGAGTGTTGCTGATGGTATGGCTTCATTTCAGTTTATATATTCTAACTGCAGTTGGGAAATTGACATGCTGGGAATTTAAGAATAGAAATCTAATCACACTATTCTGCAGATGTGCTTTCTCTCAACGGCTCTGATTGTGGGCGGACTAGTGTTGCTTCAGCAACAGATGTCCACCATGGGGATGTTGATGTCAATGCCCACCACAGGTTATCCTCCGACCTGCAGAGGCAAGGAGAATTATCAACAAGCAATCCTGCTTGTAGCTCTGATAGTGGTTCAGCTAAAACGTCAATCAACCCAAGCAGTATGTTGCGTCCAAAAGATGCAGACTCAAAAATGAGACTTGATGGACCTCACAGTGAGGTACAACCTGTGTTCCTTGATGAAATCTCTTCCTCTGCTAATGGAAGCAGTAGAAGGGAGGATGGCTTGTTGGATAACTGTGGAATTCTTTCAAACAACTGTTTGCCCTGTCTTGCATCCACGGTTGCACCAGTTGAGAAGAGACAATCTCTTAGCGCTAGTTCTCCAAGTGCAAAGAAGAAAGCTGCCATAAAACTTCCTTTCAAATGGAAAGAAGAAAATCCTGTTGCTGCTTTACGTAAGTTTCTATGTCTACTCTTTTCCCCTTCCAATCTAAGCCCATCCTTTTGGTCTAGATGCTTCAGTGCAATGTTTCTGCATGTGCATCCCTGAGTGATTGAGTTCTCATATCTTTGTCTAATAGTCAACGCCATAAGTGGCTGGGGTTTCACATGTATTTCTAATAATTGTTAGTGCACTTTCTGGAATTAGTTTTCTGATAAGGTAAGATTTTATTGAAGACAGTAATACTGTGACTACCTTTTTGTCAATTGCACAAATGAATCAACTGGCTTATGCTTCATCAACAATGTGCAAGAATGAAGAAATTTCATGAATTGCTTTTTTGACCTTTGCCTATTGCAGGATTTAATATTGTTGTGGTATTTTTTTTTCTTCCAATGAGAACTTGTTATATTCAACTATTGTCATCTTACCGCCAAAACTTTGTCCCATTTGATGCCAACAAGAAATATTATTTGGAAATTAAGTTATCTTCAGCTCTCCTAGAAATATTACTTGCAGACAAACATGGACAATGTTTGAGCTGTTTATTCTTCTTTCCAAGGTATAACTGAAGTAGGTTTTTGAGGATTAATAAGCAAAGTGCTCCAAAGTTTGTGTGAAAGTGTAGTTAGTGAAGTATGAGGCAATGAAAAAATGTTGGGTATAGAAAACCTGTTCTGATGCTGCTGTTAAGAGATTTTAACGTTGTGTGTATTTCTGTTGGGTTTAATGCTCCTTCCCTTTCTGAAAGATTGAAGACCAAATGTTATCTAGAATCCAGATGAGCTCAAAGCTGTGTACTTTGTGCAGAGAGTAGATGAGTCTGAACTGCTACAGGTGGATGAATACCTTAACATGTGGCCTTTGATGTAAAGTTAAAAGATATCATAGGCTAGTACGATGTTACACATGTATGCAACATTCTGTTTTATCAACACCCCTTATAAGTAATAAGATATCAGACTTAGCATTGAAACATTGCAATAAAAAGGATTTCACGGGGCAGCATGGATGTGGGATATTTCAGGGATGTCATTTGTTAATGCAAAATCCAAATAGAGGATATTTGGTGCATTTGATGTGAGAGATGATACAGTTACTCCTCTATTGACTTGGGGAACATTGTTTGTGAGCTTTTCATCTTAGTAATCTACTTTTGGGGGTGTAAATTATTGAGTTATTTTCTAAAGAGTGTACAATTTTCGTTGATCTTGCGCTATTACACTAACTAGCAAAATCAGGAAGAGAAAAAAATGAGGAACAGAGTTACTATTATCAAGAGTAAGTGGATAACATTTGCATCATAAGTCAATGTTGAGCATGAGAAGTTACACTCTAGATTTTGATTTGTAGATGGGAGGTGTACACACCAACTGCTAAACAGATCAGGGAATTGAGGCAAAACAAACTGACTCTCATCCTTTTCTGTGGTACAGTTTCATCTAAAGCCCTGCTTCAAAGACCAATAGCTGGTTCCCAAGTACCAGTTTGCCGGTTGGAGAAGAAAATGGCTGATAGTTGGTCCCATATTGAACCGGGCACTTTCAGGGTTCGAGGAGAAAACTACTTCAGGTAAAGTGTTTCCCTCTATTAGCACTCACATGCACACAGATACATGCAAAAATATATAAAGATGTCTCTAATCATATAAAACCCATATATATGATAATCATCAACACGGATATGTATATGTGCCAGCTGCCACTGCACTAGTTCATGTGTTGTATAAGGTATTTCATTGCACACATATTCTTTTGTGCAGGGATAAAAAGAAGGTGTTTGCTTCAAATTATGCAGCATATTATCCTTTTGGAGTTGATGTATTTTTAAGCCAGAGAAAAATATTTCATATTGCCCGACTTGTGGAACTTCCTTTCATTGAACAATCTGGAACACTTCCTCCCATCCTTGTTGTGAATGTTCAGGTATGATTGGTTTTTGAAATCGTAGTAATGAGTATTTATGTCGTCTTTTTCTTGATCTAACTTTCATAAAAGCTTTCAAGGTCCTGAAAGTTGTTGTAAATGTTATCTGCTTTGTTCATTTTAAGTCTGTCTGTGTAACTTTTCAATTAAAGATAGTTAATGTCTCCATGCTATAGATGCAATTCATTTTTGTTTGCAAAGTCTAAAGTATTCTGCTGCATCATTTTACATTTTATGAAAGGGTGTCAATTGATAGTAATTTCTGGTCCCCTCATGGGGCAGTTTGAGTAATGAATGTAGTGTAACCACTAATCTTACTTTATTCACGGCGTGTCCTAAACTCCTAACCATACAAAGTTTCATTATTTAAGCAGTCATTTAATTCATGTATCTTTAGCCATTTCATAGCACTCTTAACCTTGCCTTCTTCTTTTAGTTTTTCTATTTCCCAAAGTGTTCCCATTAACAGTCAACTCGGCCTTTTGTATGTCATGTCTGCTGTTGAAATTTAATGTACCCATGTAGACATCACTGGTTACTTCGTTAATGTGTATTCCCGGGATTAGCCACTGAACACTCTTAATTTTCTATAATCTCAGCATTAGCTACTTTATACTTAATTATTCCCTCATGTTGCGGAACTGTTTTTTTTTCTGCAGATCCCGTTATATCCTACCTCAATTTTTCAAGGTGAAACTGATGGTGAAGGGATGAGTTTTGTTTTGTATTTTAAGCTTTCAGAAAGTTACGCCAAGGAACTTCCTCCTCATTTTCAAGAGAGTATCAAGGTATGTTTGAGCATTCATGTTTTCTCATATTTATTCTTTTTCTTTTTCCGTGTATGATTGGTTTCAAAGTCACTCTCTTGCAGTGTTGGTTTCTTCATATGATACTATCATCTTTTCCCGTTTCAGTTGCAGTTCTATCTACTTTTGCTTATACATCCTTTGAATTGAGTCATATTCACTACGTTTTTGTAGCTTTCTATCATGATTCATGTCTTCCATATTTCATGAGTTGCCATCATCTTTACTTGAGTCAGATTATTTTTTTTTGCAAACAATCGAGTTCCTATTTGAACTAATTCTCACTTTTCTTCCCCTTGTCTTATCTTGGACAGAGGCTGATTGATGATGAAGTGGAAAAAGTAAAGGCTTTTCCTGTTGAACATACTGCACCCTTTAGGGAACGATTGAAGATATTAGGTCGTGTAGCAAATATGGAGGAACTCCCATTAAGTGCAGCAGAGAGGAAGCTTATGCATGCCTACAATGAAAAACCTGTTCTTTCACGTCCTCAACACGAGTTTTACAAGGTAAATTTTTGCAAACTTTGGTTCTTTTTAAATTGGAGTATGATTGGGCTGCACATCATGTTCTACTCAAATTTGTTAAATGTCCCTGTCGTTCCCTTTTAACATTTAGTTTTTGGGAAAAGGAAAACATGCTGTTTTGAACTGGGAAACATCCTCCAATTATCTGGTGTGTCCAGTAGTAAATTAAGACTGTTCCACAGTGACTAGGATAATAAAGCAGTTTACATATCAACAAAGATTACTGAATGAACTAAAAGTTGTTTCTAGAATGACTGATGAAACATGGACCATCTATTCGTCGCAAATCGTGTTAGGCACTCTTTAACTCGATAAAATATAATTTCTTTGCATGACTTAATCTCGAATTTTTAACTTCTCATCTGAAAGTACTAGTTTTTTCCTGTGGACTGAGATTGTTTTCTTGCATTATGTTCCTTTAGACCATACAAGTAGCGTAGTTTATAGGTTTTACTTTGCATTTGTTACGGAACCATAAGATATCTTCACTTAAATTTTCCATCTGAAATTTAAGAAGAATTGTTTCAGTTATAGCATACATCTAAACTGTTGCCTGTTTTCTGGATTAAGAAAGAAATATATGACTAGGTGTTGAACGTCTTTTGATTCTTACTTCGGCTGTTAATGATCTTTTTGCAGGGAGAGAATTACTTTGAGATTGACATAGATATGCATAGATTCAGTTACATCTCTAGGAAGGGTTTTGAAACATTCCTAGATAGACTAAAGCTCTGTTGCTTGGATGTTGGGCTAACAATTCAGGCAAGTATCTGTCTCCAACGTTCCATTATTTTTTCTTTTCTCCCAGATTCTTTTTCGGCCTAGGAAATCATTTTTTCCATCTAGGTAACGTCTTTTACCACTTTCCAAACAGGGAAACAAAGTTGAAGAATTGCCGGAGCAGGTTTTATGTTGTGTACGGTTAAATGAAATTGACTATGCGAATTATCAGCAACTGGGGTTGGAATAGAGAGCCCTTTGAATTAGCTGCACAGACATTGCAAATAAAGAAGTAACTTAGAGAAGTTCAGTTCTCCCTCGCTTTTGGTGCCTACCTCTCTCTGTCTCATTCTATCCCCGATTATCAAAATCTTCAATATCAGGCAGATTATGAGTGTAGCAGGTTCAACGGGAACTGTTGAGGATGATTCTCACATTCAGATCACCATACAGATCCTCCTTGGACTTGCCTGTTTGGGGCCAACTCCTATGTCACCTAGCCTTTTATGACATGAGTTCTGGACAAGTCAATAGCTTACATAAGCTATATATGTGTATGAATTCATGGACAACATTGAGATATCATTTAATGGAATCGATTCTAATGCATTCTTTTTGTTTGCTAATGAAGCAATCTGTTCAATTACTTTTCAGTAACATGAAATTTTAGTGCTTGTGTTCTTGTATACTAATGTGTGCGCTGAGGGGAAGTTTTTAATTTGCAATGGAAAGGTGTTTGGATTATCGCCAAAATTATATATACTTCTATTGCCAATGTAAAATTTGTTTCTCGTCTCCCTGCCCCACAAAGATGGGGTAAGGTCTGCGTATATCCTACCCTCTCAAGACCCCACTTGTTCGCTTGAGGGACTACACTGGGTATGTTGTTGTATATCTGATTACTTATCATGAATTATACGTTACTTGCTATATGTATGTAGTGATTTAGGTAGCAAAGAGTTGCATTAACAGTTGAAGAGAAGAATTGCATTAACAGTTTGATCCTCTATATTGAATTGTTTCTAGAAAGTTATGTGAAGAGCAACTAAAGCTCAAGATTTACAGGGAAGAAGGGGTTTCCCGCATAAACCTCTGTTTCCAGAGAATGAGCTCTGCGGAAAATCAAGAAATGGCTTCCCATAAGGTATTTTTCCTTCAAGAAGATTATCTGAAAGGTTCAATTCTTTCAGTTTATTCAGCTTCAAAAACTCCTCAGGGATTCTGCCAGTGAATTGATTTTTGTGCAGCATCAGTCTCTCCAAAACGGTCACGTTGGCCAGTGATGTTGGCAGGTTAGCTCCTAATCCATTGTAACTGAGATCCAAAGTCTGTAGTGTTTTCAATGTTCCTACGGAGGTTGGTAATCTACCTTTGAGAAAGTTATGCGATAAATTTAAGTGTTGGATATGTTGTTGTCCTCCCATGCCAATCTGTTCGACACCACTTGAGAAATTGTTATCAGACAGATCAAGATATGTCAATGATCCTTCTGCAAACCTGCTCTTTATCTGGAAAACTGCATTCACACTGCCGTCTAGCTTGTTTGAGTGAAGGTCTAACACTCCCAGAATGTCGAGATTTGTGACAGTTGAAGGAATCTCAGACACAAACTTGTTCTTAGAAAGGTTTAAAGAATATATCTGCGAAAAGCTGCCAATCCAAGCTGGTATCCTTCCTGAAAGATGGTTAGCTGACAAGTCTAGTTCCAGCAATGACTTGGGTATGTAATCTGGAATTTCACCATGAATTTCACATCCTGCCAAGTAAATTTGCGATAGTGATGGCAACTGCATGAGCCACTTGGGAATGGTTGACATATTCAAACGGTTGAATGAAAGATCCAGCGATTGAAGATTTGAAAGGGAAGAAATTTCACGAGGCAGCGGTCCTTCAATCATGTTATGAGATATACTCAGGTAAATAAGCTCAGAAATCCCGCCTATTGATCTTGGCAACTGACCAGATAATTGGTTGCAACTGAGATATAACATTTCCAATAACTTCAAATTACCTATACTCGAAGGAATAGAACCCTTTAGCTGATTGTTTGCAAGTGAAACTCTCTGAAGGGAGGTCAAGTAGCCAATAGATGAAGGTATCGTTCCACTAAGCTGATTGTTCTGCAGTCTTACAAAGCTCAGAGAAGACAATTTCCCAGGTTTTGAAGGCAACGGTATGTCCCCCTCGAGCTGATTGGAATTCAGGTAAAGAACTGACATAAACTTTAGTCTAGAAATAGAACGAGGGATTATCCCCGTTAACGAGTTATTAGACAAATCAACCTCTTTCAATTCTTGCAAATTACCAATGTTTTCTGGTATATCCCCTGTCAAGAAATTCTCTTCAAGACACAAACTTTCTAATTTTTTCAACTTTGTTATAGACTCAGGAATTACACCAGAAAGTTTATTAGAATGTACATCCATTCTTCTTAGATTCTTGACACCTCCTATACACCAGGGAATAAAACCCGAAAAACCATTTTCTTGGAGATACAATTCTTCCAGTTTAGACAACATACAAATGCTTTCTGGTAATGCACCAGTAAACCTGTTTCTAACAAAGTTGAGTTTTCTGAGATTTGGTAGATGTAAACCAATCGATGAGGGGATTTTCCCCGTTATACCAAGAAGATCACCTATATTGATAACTTCAAGATAGTTGATGAGTGTGATTGAAGGTGACAATTCCCCTTCCATAGCAGATTGAATTGGTGCATCATCTGAAGTATAGAGACCTGGTAGGCTTATACTTACAACTCTTTTAGTTACATTACTACAAAAAATACCTTCCCATTTACAACAATTGCGGCCAATCCATTTACTTAGTCTACCAGAAGTGTCTGAATGAATTCCAGACTTGAAATCTTGAAGACCTTTTAAATCATTTGGATGACAAGATTTACTTTTACAAATAGTTGTGAGAGTTAGCAATACAAGAAAACAAAGAAGTTGAGAAGCCATTTGGGAGATTTTTGTGAAATGAAATGATAGTCAAAGATTGTTTTAAGACAATGATTTGGTTTCTCTCTTTACAGATTGTAATATGCTGACAAGCATGTTATTTGTATTAATTGTTTATTTGTATTTGTTAAAAAAAAAGTTAGAGATAAGAGTTAAAAATATTAAAGAAATGAAGACAAAACAAATCTAGACTTTATTAAAGATTACTCTTTTCGTCCATCTTTACTTGTCCATGTTTGATTTTATACACCTCATCAAGCAACAATAAATAAAGGGACCATTAGCGGTAAGTCATCTAAATATTAAAAAGTGAATAGTATTTAATAGCAAAAGTAAAATAAATATAAAATGATAAATTATTTTTTGATTTTTCAGTTTGAATAAAGAATTTTTAATATATTGAACGATTAAAGATGGAGGGAATACTATTGGCAGTTTGCACATAGAGTTTTTTTCCTTCTCCCAATAATTTTTTAGGATAACTAAACTAATCCTCTGCTTTTGCCAGCAATGTTGACAGATGACCAAAGCCTTTGGTTCCTCAAAAACGCCAAAGCACTATTTTGTCCTAGGAAGATGCTTGCTTTGTCATTTTTTATTCTCAATTTAACTTATACTTTCTCCGTTTCAAAATAAGTATCGAGCTTTTTTTTCTTTTTTCTTTTTCTGACACTTATGATAGAGATTAAAGGTGTTTGGCCTCTAAAAGGGATTGTGATTTTAAATTTTTGGGAAATTCCTTTTCATAATATCCTTATTCTCCTTTAATTCAGAGCTATCGTAACTTTAGCTCCTCATGGTATACCTATGAGGTAAGAAAAACGAGCGGTTTATAGTTTAGTAGTTATCATTTTCTTTGCTCTACTATTCACGAGTGTTCAAGGAATAAAATATTATCAAACACCATTCACTATTTTGGATAGTATGATTCACAATGTGAAAGGTAACTAATTTGTCGGATTTAGAAAATTTTAAGCCAACTAAATGTTAATTCGTGAAGACAAGAAAACTTTAAGGGTAGACAATTACTTGTACTTGAAATCTCATGTGGGAGGGTTTAGAGCCTGTTAAGTCAATAATATGAGATGGAGGAAGTATTATTTTTCTTAATTCTTAATATGCATGAAATATGAAAAAAACGACATTTTATTTGGGATGGAAAGAATATACATTATTTTATAGTATCAATATAACTTATACAAATTAGTAAATTACATAATGTAACTTATTTTAATGATTAGATGTACGTCATGTGTTTGGAAACTATCATAAGCAAAAAATTAATACTCCTATTTTAATAAAGAAAGATAGAAGGGTGGTCATTTTATATACGACATCTTGAATTATGTGTCGTTAATTGAGATTCACAATTATAAATTATACAATTGTTATCTGTAATTATTTTTAGGTTTAATTATATACAACTAGGCATTATCTCACATCTAAAGACAAAATTTTGACAACTTTGAAGTGGTCATACTCGTAAAAAAATTATTTGTATTGGGCCAATAAAAGTATATATTATTATAGTCTTTACATTTGTGAACACTTAATTATAGTCAAATTATATGTATTTTTATTTGTTAATTCTTATATTATATTTAGATATAATTAATAACTTGAAATATTATTATAAATATTATAATCAGATTACAATATTAATAACTTATATATATAGGTTCAGACTTTTCTTGGATTTCGAGGAGAGATCAACCAATCATCTGACATCGTTTGTTGAACAAAATCTTAGTGGGCTCTTGAAGCTTCCACAAAGCTCGGTTAAAATTTGTAGAGTTAATTAAATTTTCATTTTATTAGAATTATATACCTAATTTGGGTATTTATGTCCATTCCGATTAGTAATTGATACTAAATTTATAGTTAGAAAAATAACTTAAATAGTCGTCCGTCTAAATATTATGTTCGTCAAATAGATAGTGCATTATTTGCTCTATTTTGTGCTCTCTCAATAGTCTGCGTAAAAAAATATTAGTGCTACTTATCAATTAATTAATTCTCACCTCTCAATATATAGACAAGGTAAGGATATTGGATATTGACAAATTCAATAAATAATTTGTATTTAAATACGGTGATGATGACATTAAAGTATTTCTAAATTTGATATTTTTTAAATATTTTTTCCGATGTAAATAAGTGAAATAAAATAAAAAACAAATTAAAGGTATCGAACACTAAAAATAAAGTTCTCTTTATTATTTCCTCAATAAATTTCTAATTGCTCAACATTAAAAAAAAAATTCCATACCAAAAGTTTCTAAAAACTTAATCCAATTAACGGAATACACGTTTTTCCTTCTTTTTTTTTGGTAAGGTAAATAAATTAAAACAAAAAAAATATAAAATAAATGACCACGTAATTTATGTTTATTATGATTCTCACGTAACATAAGCTATTGATTTTTGTTTTTTATTTTTCAAAATTATAATACCAACTCCCAGTATTTTTCTTCCTTCAACCCTTTTTAGTTTTGGGGGAACTACAAAAAAAAACTAATATGACTCATAAAAAGGAAGTAGGGGTGTTTATGGATTGATTTGGCTCGATTATTGATCAAAATGATCAAAATCAAACCAACATAATCGATTCTAAAATTATCAAAATCATGAACAATCCTAACTGAAATTTTCCACCACAAAGTCAATTGCAGCCTTACACACTCAATAGCAAAAGGTGAAAGGTGAAACACACTATATATACACGTGAAATAGTGAATTGTTTCATTAGAACATTAACAATTGTGAAAACAAAAAACAAAACAATTAATGACGAAACAATTATTGGTTAAACACTTATACTGTTTCTATCTCATTGAAGGGGGATCGGATTCATCTGAAAATTTTGTGGTTGAGAAAAATAATTATACTTAATTTGGTATTAACTCATTAGATGTATAGTTTAACTTAGTAGATGAATTGTTGGTAGCATTTCTAAATGGAGAATCATGTATTGGATATGTTGGTTAGTAGAAAGACTTATTATTTTCTTTTATTCTAGAATAAGTGTCCCATTACGAATTCAAGATAAGAATTTAATATGTTTCTCCAACTATATCCTTATACTCCATGTTCTTAATAGTGTTTAATTTTCGAAAGATATTTATTAAATATCAATGAATAGCTTACTAAACTGCATATTGTATGTAATAATTTTTTTATTGACGTGATTTTTACTAAGATAACACTTATTTTGAGATGGATGGTGAGCGTACTTATTTTGTTAATTTTCATCACAATTTAACTTATACGCATTACCGGTGTTTTTGTTTTTATTTTTATATTAACAATATAATTTAAACTTGTTATTACATATAGGATAATGTAACCTATTTTGATGGTTAAACGTATGCTACGAATTTGAATCATACCGTATATTATGTTGACACCCAATTTTGATCCGAATTAATTTTCATGGCTCTTAAATTTCAAACGATTTAAAATAATTAGCTTTTATAAAGTTAAAACTATTTCCAAAATACTCTTTAGTGAATATTTGAAAATCAACTCAAAAGATTTTACATTTTAAGTTAGATATTCTATTAATTTAGTTTGGTTTAACTTATAGTTATAATTCCGAGTTAATTAGTTTGTAGTTAAGTTAATTATTTTATTTCATTAAAATTAAAAAAGTTTTTCAACTAATTAATATTAATTCATATCATTTTAATTTTGGCCGAATTAATCCATTAAATTTAATTTGGTTAACTTTTAACTTAAATTGGCTAAAATTACAATTCACTTGACTATTTCTTATTACATTTTTTTTTTTAATTGGTGGAGCTAAAAGCTCTTTTATTTCAATAAAACCAACTATTTACAAACATAGATCCTAAACAATAGGCCCAAAGGAAAGCTGAAAACAAACAAAAAAAACATTAACAGCCCAATTTCAATTTTAATCATCATTTCACCCAATTTTGGATTATCCAAGACCCAATTTCCCTTTTCATTTACAGCCCACGAGTCACCCGGCCCAATTCACAATTTCAAAAAAAATAATCAACCAATCCATTTTCAATTTCCAGTATTACCCAGCAGCAGCTGTCAACGTTTCCAAACGGCTACCCACGTTGCCTTCTTCTTCTTCCCCAAAATGTCAAGGATAGTAATGGAGCTTCAGGGGCTTTGATCGAAATTGCTATAACAATATCGAACTTTGGAAAGGACCTTTTACCCCTGCACTATTTAATATTGTATTTTAAAGATATACATGTATGTGTCCACGTGGACATCATAAATATTGCATCATTATATAACGTGTCCACGTGTGCACATATACCTTTAAAATACACTATTAAATAATGCAGGGGGTAAAAGGTCCTCTATAAAGTTTGATATCGTAACAACAATTTTAACCAAAATTAGAGTATTTTTAGGACCATTTTCCAAAGTGTAATTATAAATGTGCATATATTAAAAGTGCAAATTGCAAATTAATAAATTAAGGACCATGGGTGTCACCATCATTGACAACATTGAAAATTCCTTTTCATGCTAGTTCACACAAGGGGTAAAAAAATATAAAATATTCATTTACATAAAGGAGTTAGTATAAAAAATAATAAACACATATTCATATTAATAATACTCTCTTTATCCTAAAAATAACTAATATCCGTAAAATTAATATCTATATTATTAATACTTATATAATTTTATCTAGTTATCAAATATCTATCAAAATGTATTGGATAAATATAAGAGGTTGACATGAAGAAGAAGAAAGAATTTCTTATCTTCCTTGAACGCGTGGAATAATTAAAATTTAAAATTTTATAAAAAATGTTCTAAAAAATATAATTTCACTGGTAAAATAAAATTTTCAATAAATTTAAACTCGTATATCATTATAATTTGAATCATCTTATTTGATCATTGAACAATCTTATCAAAAAGTTTGAATTCACATATTATTCATCATTGTGTCTTTCTTCTTTTTCACAAATTATTGGTAGCAATAATATAGTTAAGAATAGTCCAAAAAGACAAAAACTTTTTGGTGCTCAAGATTTCAAAAAGTTTTTTTT